GCAGGAATATCAGTGTCTCATACTGGAGTTGGGGCGGGCAGTGGGTGTGGGGGGAGAGGTGGGCAGACTAGAGTTCTTTTGGCTTTAAATCCTGCAGTAAATGTGGCCTCATCTGGGCCTTCAAAGATAGGGGTATAGATGGTCTCTCTCATTTCCAATTCGCTAAGGATTTGTTATACTTTCTCTATAAGTTTCTAGGCTCCCATATGCCTAAGGGGAAACTACTTCACTGGGACAAGCCTGCCTATAGTCTAGAATAATCTAAGTTATAAGGGAGTAAGTATCTTGAATCCCAGGTCCCCCAGCATCGTGCAGGATATGTGGTGACATTACCCATTTCCTCTGCTTCCTGCCAGGACAGAGAAATGTTACTAACCCCTCTCACCCCCATACACACACACACACTCACACTCACCCCATATCCCATGACCACACTAACCACGCTTGGATACTTGCTCTGGTTTTTTGCTAGTAATTGGCAGCTACATCAATCAGCTCAGTGGGAGTATATTCTCTCGTTACGAAAATTTCCTGAATTGGAGGCTGCCCCGCTGGCTGGAAGTGTTTTTACTATATTTTACCTTCCTTTGTATTAGCAGTCAGAGGGCATGGGGCATTTAATCTGTTTCACTGCCAATCACTACATCCTCCTCTTTCCTCTCCTCACTTTCCAAGGGATTCCACCTCTTAGTATCCCAATCAGTCTTTGTCACAAACTCTTAGACCTTAATCTATGGCAGTTTGCATCTTCTTAGCTTCGCAAAGCAGTACACTAAGGTCTCCAGCTTATCCTGATCTTCTACCTGTCTGTCAGCCCTGAAGTGTCAGAGTAGTGGGCAACTGCATATCCTTCTCTAAACTCAGTTCTTCTTCTAACTTTCTAATTTGATCTTCAGTGTCTAGTTGAGCATCAGTGGCCAGCTGAAGTGCCCACAGTAGAGGCCAGACCATTGTGCAGCCACTCCATTCCCTTCTTAGCCACATCATGCTCTGCATAGTTTCTTAAACAAGTACATTAAAGCAGTTTGTATTTATGGGATGACCCTGTACTCATGTGGCAGTTCACAAGCACCTAACATACGGGCCACCCCTGCCCATATAGAGGTTAATGGCCACTTAGGACTTCCTCTGAGGATGTCTCTTTCCCAAGGCTCATTTCTTTGTTCTTTTGGCTGACTTTCCCATTGTTAATTGGTAAACTGGTTGCTGTACATGGAGAACAAGGAGAGACTGAAGAAAGATGCAGGCTACTCCAGACTGGTGGGTGACAGATTTAATAAGCAAGGAAACTTATTTAGGAGGATTATCTTGAGCGATTGAAAGACAAGTAGATTTTTAGGCCTGTCCACCAGAATCTTAAAAGTTTACATAGAAACCTTAAATGGATTTGGTCATGTATTCAGTCCAGATGGTTTCAACAACACCTTACTCTTTCAAGGCTGTGGCCTGGGAACAGCGCCCACTGTCGAACAGTATAAGCAGAACATACGTTCCAAGGACAGGGGAGGAGAGCAAGGAGCCTCACATTGGCAGGGGTCAGCTCGAGGGTCAACTGGTGACCACATCCTCTTCATTATTTCTTCTAGAAAAGAGGCATTTTTGTGTTTAGAAAAATGACTCAAAACAGTAATATTTAGGGAAGAATTTGGGTCTACAGCTCTGCCACCCTGAATGCGCCCGATCTTGTCTGATCTTGGAAGCTAAGCAGGGTCGGGCTTGGTTAGTACTTGGAAGGGAGACCACCTAGCAATACCAGGTGCTGTAAACATTTAAAAAAAATAATATTTGGAAAGGTCCTTTTTTTCACCAACATCATTAAAGTACAATGCAGGAAAAGAAGACACAACTGCACACAAAAAAATGAAGTCTGTAGTGTTAAAATGTCAAGTACACGAAACAGACAATTAAGTAATTAACCACATTTAGAGGAGAGTCTAAGAAAAGGGAAATTTTGCAAATTAGTAGTGTCCGCCAGTTACGAAATGAGGAAATATGATCTAAGATAAAGAGGAACATTTTAGCTTACAAGAAATTATAGAATCATTAACTTTAAATTCACATCAAGAAATTGAGATTTATGCAAAAGTGGAGGGACCACTATTCTTTAACTAATAATTGACGTCAAAAGTAACTCAGACATTTATTTACTTAGTTATCAGCACAGACAGTTGTTCATGGCAGGTTCAAGAGATTTTTGTCTAAAAGACAAGTTTGAGACGGGGGCGGCAGGGGGTGGGGGAGAGAGAGAGAGAGAGACTACAGTTTTCATTGTTTTGACTGAAATGGGTTTTTATTATAATTGTGAACTTGAAATGTAGTTTGAATGTAAAAGTTAAGGTTGATAATCATATTTTCTCTTAATTTTAGTTGCACTTTCTGTTAAATGATATAACAGTTATTCCAATTTCTGATCCTGTGTTAGGAGCCTAATTTTTCTATCTAGAAACTTTAAAAATTTTCTATCTGGAATCTTTAAAAATATTTTATATTTCTTGAATTCTGAAATTTCATAGTGAGATATCTTTTTGGTCTTTCTCCCTTTCTGTTGGGCATTCATTCGGTAGGACATTTTAAACAGAAACATATTCTTAACATCTGAGAAAACTTTTTCATATCTATTTCATGATTTTCTTCCAATTTTTATTTTACTTTCTTTTTATGGAATTCCTGTTAGTAAGATATTGGTGCTGTTGGGTTGATATTCTACTATCATTATACTTTTTCTTATTTCTTAGTCTCTTTCTCTTTAGATTCAACTAGCTAGGAGAATTCCCAAAGTTTTTCCTTCACTTGTTTTATAGAATTTGTTTTTCTTAACTTATTTTATTATAACTTTAATTCTTAAGTGTTTTTTCTTGTTTTTTAAATGTTCTTTTTTTCAGTTTACTCTTTTTGTTTAAGTGGTGTAGTTATTCTCTACTTCTCTCTCAAAGTTATTATAAAAATATTATAAATTTTTTGTCCTTTGCCACCAATATTAGTCTGAACTTTCTCTTACATGTGCTTGTTTTGGTCTCTGCTTTTTTAGAGGTCTACCTAGATATCTAATGATCCTTAAGTGTCTATTAATAAGTAAGAGTGAGGTTCTAACAAAGTAGTGGGAAGCTCTGTGTCTTGAACTAGTGGTCATTGTTGTGGATGTTCAGGCAGAGACTGTTCATATTTTCTTATTCTCAATATTTTTAGACTTTTTATACTGGTCAATTTTCTCAAAGAGTACTTCTCTATTATGCTAAGTGAAATAAGTCAGACAGAGAAAGACAAATATCATATGATCTCACTTATATGTGGAATCTTAAAAAAACAAAACAAACAAAACAAAACAAACTCATGGATACAGAGAACAGATTGCTGGTTTTGGAGAAATCTCTATTCAAGTTCTTTGCCTATTTTTTAAACAGCTTATTTCTTTTTATTTATTTATGTATTTATTTACTTATTTATTGCTATTGAGTTTTAGGAATTCCATATGTATTTTGGAAATGAACCTCTTATCAGACATAAATGGTTTACAAATATTTTCTATAATTCCATAAGATGCCTTTTCATTCTGCTCATTTTCTTTGCTTTTTTCTTTCTTTTCTTTTCTTTTCTTTTCTTCTTCTTCTTCTTCTTCTTCTTCTTCTTCTTCTTCTTCTTCTTCTTCTTCAGTGCAAGAAGTGCTAAAGAGATTTCTTTTTGCTCCTCCTCCTCCTCCTCCTCCTCCTCCTCTTCTTCTTCTTCTTCTTCTTCTTCTTCTTCTTCTTCTTCTTCTTCTTCTTCTTCTTCGCTGTGAATAAGCTGTTAAGTTTGATGTAATTTCGTTTATCTATTTTTGATTTTGTTGCCTGTGCTTTTCATGTCATATTCAAGAAATCATTGTGAAGACCAATGTGAAGAAGATTTTTTCTTACATTTTCTTTTAGGACTTTGGTTTCAGGTCTTGTGTTCAAATTTTTAATCTATTTTGAGTTAGTTTTTGAGTATGGGAAGTGATAAGGATCCAATTTTATTACTTTGGATGTTGATATCTAGTTTTTCCAATACCATTTATTGAAGAGACTATCCTTTCTCCATTTGTATTCTTGACATCCTTGTCAAAGACCAGTTGACTCTATATGTGTGGGTTTACTTCTTGGCTCTTTATTCGGTTCTATTGGTCTATATGTCTATTTTGAATCCTGTATGCTGCTGTTTTGATTACTCTTCCTTTGTTATATATTTTGAAATAAGGAAGTGTAAAGCTTCCATTTTTGTTCATCTTACTCAGGATCGCTTTGCTTATTTGGGGTCTTTTGTAGGTCCATATTCATTTTTATATTTTTTAAAATTTCTGTAAAAAATGTCTTAGGGATTTTGATAGGAATCACACTGAATTTGTAAATCACTTTGAGTAATATGGACATTTTAATAACATTAATTCTTTCAATCCATGGAAACAGAATACCTTTGCATTTATTTATGTCTGCTTTAATTTCTTTTATCAGTGTTTTAAAGTTTTCAATGTATAAGTCATTCACCTCTTTGATTAGGTTTATTTCTGAGTATTTTATTCTTTTTGATTTTATTGTAAATAAGATTGTTTTCTTAACTTCTTTTTCTTAGTTTCTAGTTCAGTGCTGGAAATGTGACTGATTTTTGTATGTCGATTTTTTTATACTGCAACTTTATCGAATTTATTGAGATTAGATTTCATGTGTTCTTACCACAACACACATTCAAACACATACACACAGGAACACAAGTAATCTTTTAGAGGTGATGGGTATGTGTATTACCTGGATTGTGGTGATAGTAACACATGTCCAAACTCACCAAATTGTATACATTAATTATGTGCAGTTTTGTTATGGTAATTATACCTTAATAAAGCTGGAAAACAAACTAAACCAAAATAAAAATACATGTTAGGTATTACTATTTGGGATGCAGTTTATATTTTTGGTCTCTTCTGTGGGGTAGAACGTAGAGACAATGTCTTTCTAATGAAATACAAAAACCTGATTATATTACCCATAACACTGTGTTTACAAAGAAAACAAATCACAATTGTTCCCAGGCTAATTATATCTTCTGGACCAAGAGACAAGGACAAAGCAAAAGAAAAAGTGCAATGATATCTCCAGTCACTAAATGACATTGCAGCTTGTGGTTGGCCACATTGTACCAAACTCATTTTCAATATTTGTAATTGGTTACTAAAAAATAAAGTCACACTATAAATCATATAATTAATTATCTTTAATGGTTCTATATTTCAGTTTATTTAAAATAAATTTTTTTCTTATTAAGAGTAAAACAACTATTCATTATGGAATATTTTGAAACTATAGAGAAATGTAGAGAAGAAAATAAATATTACCCATATACTCTTACTACTCAAGGGAAACCATTGTGTTTACCTTTGTAGTTTCTCTCTTTCAGAGTATGAAAACACAAAACATAGATTTAATATTTATGGGATGGAATCATTTTATATATTATTTTAACTGGCTTAACAAAAATGTTTTGAGGAGTCTCCCTTGTACAAAAACATTCTTCTTCATTGTTATTTTTCAATGATGGTATATTATGTGAATATAGAAATGAGTAGAATCATATTTATTTAGTTAAATCCTTAAGCTTTAGACAATTAAGTGACTTCTGACTCATGACTACTAAAAGGAATCCTTTGATAAATGTTTTTGTGCCTACATCTTATACATCCAGATTATTCCTTTAAAATCAACCCCCTACCTCCCGCCAAAAAAAAAAAAAATTGTCTCATCAAGGAAAGGCATGAATCTTTTTAAGGTTTTTGATTAATATTTTCAAATCATTTTTCAAAAATTCTACTGAACCAATATATATCATCACCAGCAGTTTTTTCTGGTTATATATTTTCCAATATTTCCTCCAGAATTTTTTTTAACAGTTTAATTTCTGTTATATTTTCATGTGCAAAAATCTACTCAAATTTATAAAAATTGACAACAAGCTTAGAAAGATCATTTCTATATTCACATTATAAAAATTTTGAGTCGAAGATTGATTATAGTGTATAACATTTTAATGGCATTTTATTCTTTTAAAAATACTTTTAATTGTATCGAATTCCTATAATTCTTTGAAATAAGCAGGCAAAGTATCATTCCAGAGAAAGAAATAGAAATTTATGTTGAAAAGCAAAATAACACACAAATAAAGACAGTTATCTTTAGCATATATTAATGTAATTATCTAAGGTAAATAGAGCCTATGAACACTCTACATTTTGTCTACCGTAGGCTTCATCACCACCATCATATAATTGCTTACTTTACTATTTGTTTTACAAATAGAACATAAAGTCCACAAGACTAGTTATCATGCTAGTTTTCTTAATGTTTTAACCCTATTGTCTACCACAGTAGTAGCTGCTTAATAATCACTCATGAAATAAAAATTTTAAAAAGCCCCTCAAAAAAATAAATACAATATGCTATGTAGATATAGACATGTTATATAGAAATACTGCTGTTTGCCAATACTGGAAAGCTGATGACATACAGTTCCCATTTATAATAATTATCACTAAAATTTAATACATCTTTGGAGGTACTATTCTAACTCCCTTTTCATGTATTAACTAATTTAGTTTCTAGCTCCTTTTAAATAAATTTCTAAAACAGCTAGTCAACTAGTGAGTGGTAGAGATAGATAAAACTCAGGCAATATTTCTCCTGTGTTCGGCTCTTAACAGCAACACTTTCCACATACACATTTCATAGTACACGAATCACAAGACATTGTTTTCTAACATCACTCAGGAGTATGGTGTTGTTATTACTGACAGTATTTTAGAGTTTGGAGGCCATTATTTCATTTTAAAGCTGTAGGAACTAAGGGACACTGAAATTAAGAAACGTCTATATTATTTATCACTAAGCAGTGCCCAGAATCCACGTTTCTTTTCAGTATGTCATACTAGTGACAACAATTTAAAGATATCACATAAAGCATACATTTCCAGCTTTCAGAGAAGGAGAATATTGCAAAATACACCCATAAAGCAATTTTGAAGGTATAGAATTTTTCTTGACTGAAATATATCATGAAGATTATGTAGTGCCTCATTTCTATTTAATAAATTATTTTATGTAAATAACTAAAATATGGCATTTCAGAATTGAACAAGATACTTTCAGAGCATCGGTTACGAGGACTGATTATCCTCTTATTGGAGACCTCTCTCATGATTGTAACTAGGTCCTCACGAAGTGACTTTAGGTGTCTCCTAATTTCTCTGTGCTTCTTCAGTATGAAGGTGATAAACAATAAAGAAGAAAATAATAGAATAAAAACATTTAAATGATATAAATTCCTCTCTATCTGAATATTTACGAGTGTCTGCTATTATATAGAGAAAAGTGAACAAGCCCTTTTGGAAATACACATGAAAACAATTCAAGAAGTTATAAAGGTAAGATTTTATCATAGATAAGTTTTTAAAAATGTTATAGTATTCTCTTTTCTGATTTCTAGTATGACATATAATTTTTAGTGCATTTTAAAGGAATGAACACTTCTTAGGAATCATTTTGTTAATTCTATTTTTATTTTAACATACACAAAAAACAGCTTATAATTGTATTGAATACAAAAGACAGACAAACACTTTATTGCACTAAAGAATACTTCACATGAAGTACTGCAGATGATAGAATTGATTGAGAGAGGCACAAATATATAATCAGATAAGACTTGTATTATTCTAGGTTTGAAAAATATAGAATTTTCTCTAATAGAGATTTACTGCATCACATATTGCACACTTTGCAACACTTATCTGTTTTACAAATATTCCTCATAATCATTGGTTTTGTCCTTATCTTTGTAAAACACTGTGTATGAGGTTTTAAAGGCAATGAATACTGTATCATTGAAAAAGACAAGTCTATGTTAAAGAAGAAAAAAGAGACAACATAAATACATGGCATCCTATTCTTTCAGGGGAAAAGTGACAAAGTAATCTGACGAACTTCTCCAAAAAGAGAGAAATATCACAAAGCTTAGTTTCATAAGCACTTGTCCACTTATAAATGCTCTCTGAGTTTAAAAAAATGCATTTGGACTAAATATCTGTATTACCAGTTAAAATTCTCTTTGTTTACACTGGGTTTTTAATACCACCATCTACCTCCTTCAAATAGTGCAAATGCGTGAGGGACACTCATTGTTGGTAGTCATTCAACAATAAATAATAACTCTAAACCTAGCTATTTTATTATTCCTGAATTTGAAAAAAGATAAAGTGCATTCAAAGGTTTAAAGTCATCCTTCTTTATCTTGGACATAATTATCAGTCAATTTGTGATGTTTTCAGCTCGTGACAGGAGCATTCCACACTGCAGATATTCCTGGAAATTCTCTCCCTTTTTTTCCACAGTCTTGTTTAGAGGAAGTTTTCCAAAATAATACAAAGTTTTTCTACAAAGTCTTTATGGAAAATGTCTGACCATAGAGCAGCATCCATCCACACAAATGTCCTTGAATTCCATGATATAATAGTCTATAATCAAATATGATTCCTCATTATTTGAAGGGTCTGCTACATATCCAGTGTAAATTCTTCCCACACTTTGTGCTGCTGACTTCTGTGCTTTTTAGAAATGCACAGTTCCCAGATCCTGTAAGGTTGAACCTGTCAAACAATAAAGAAACTAAATTATTTTTAGTTCATCATTTCCATTCAGTTATATGAGAGTAAACTTTGTGGTAGTGAACTCTGCTTTTTTTTTTTTTTTTTACTTAGTAAGAATGCATAAGTCAAGTCTGCCAGTCAAATGATCATAGACTAATCTGGAAAGACAAGAGAGAAAGATTAAAAGAAAGAGTATGTAGAAGGAAAGTACAAAGTTAAGAGTAAAGAGCTCCATTTATTGGTTGGCATGCCACCAAAGGAGTGACTTTCGGTCATTTTTGAGTTCACAAACCCTTCAAGAAAAATTCCCAGAAAGAATACACAGTCAACAAAACTATATGTTAGTGCATACAATTTATGGGGTTTATGGCCTCTGAAGCTCATCAGAGGATATGGTGCCATAAGACATTTATTAAGAATTTCTTTTATAGAGATTTATTCTCTGTATAAGTGATTATAATAAAACTATTTAGATAACTAGAAATTTAATCAACTCTGAGTTTTCAGATGATAAAAATTAACACTAAACTTATAAAATGTCCTTTGAACTTTAAAATGCAATTTAATTACAGGTAATGAAAATAAAGTCAGCATTTTTAATTCTGGGGCAAGTTATCTCTCAGGTCCATTGAAGCTTATAATTAGTTATGAAAATATTCTTGTTTATCTTGTATAGATGAGAACTCAGAAAGGGTAAAAAAAAACTATTTTTCAAAAACTAGCTCATCAATAAAATACAAATATGAGATTGGAAATGTTGGCTTTTGTTTGCATCACAATAATTATTCCTGGAATATTTCTAACTGAGTCTGATATTCACAGAAAAATTTGCCAAGATCAAATTACTAGAAGCATTTAATGTATGAATTTTGAGTATATAACAAAAACAAAATGATAACATGAAATCCTTTCTTTAAAGAATTCTAAAGAAGATAAACATACAAAAGAGGTTGTCAGAGCTCTGCTCATCAGGAACACAGCCTTCACATAGAACAGCACTCTGAAAGGGAAAAACTGTTGCCCTGAGCTGGCAGTGCCGGGAGGATAAAGAGACCTCTTGAAACTTACCAGTTGTTAAATTCTTTGCCATTTAACCATTTCCACGTCTGTTCAGCTTCGTTTTTCAGTCCAATCCAGTGTTCAGCTCTACCCACATATCGTTTTAAAAAGATCTTGAAGAAAGCACAAAGGATGCGTATGTTCAACAACTCCTCTAGATAAGTATACAATAAATCCTCAAAAGTAGTTTCTCAAAGCTGCATCTGAGGCATGAGAGCTAAGCTGATCATTTATTAGTTCGGTATAGAATCAGCTCATTTGGATTTCTGGCCTTTGAAACTAAGCATTCAAATCAAATTTAAAAGGCTAAATTGAACCCTCATTTTGATCTCAGACTAATCATATGGCTTTCTGTGACTAAATTTTCTCCCATGGGAGACAGGTCCAATGTCTTCACTTAGAAGGAAACAGAAGGAAATCACAGATTATCTACATAAAATAAAATAGTAATAACTTATAAAATTGTGTTTGAATATCATCCTACCATGTCCTTTTCAGAATCAATGAGAGCAAGAGTAGCATTATGTTCGGAGCAAGACTTTTCAGCAAAGGTCTGGTTTCTTGTTATATTGGAAATAAAGTAGCATTTCTTCTGGTATCCTATCCAATCATCTGGGCATGAAGAAACATGGCTGTTTGATGGTTCTGGACAATTGTATTGGTCTGAACAATTGTATTGGGCTGGACAATTGTATCGGCCCACTGTGAACAGAAAAAATGTTTGTTTTAGTAACAAAAGAAACGAAATACCCACAGCATGCAAACCTAGTTGAGAGGATACCGTACTGAACTGGCTGATAAACTAAAGGATGAGAGCAAAAAGGCCAATTCTGAGAAGAATAAGAAGGCAAGCTCTTATCTTATCTGATCTTCTGCTATGCCTAATCGTCATTGTACAGGGTATAAGAAAAAAGAAGGTGGCTCTTTGGTCATGATGTCAGAAAGTGGTAGGAAAATAGAAAAATCTTAAAATCATTGACTAGAAAGTATGAAGTGCGTTATAAATTCTAAGTAAGGTTTTGAATCTGAATGCAGAGATGGAGGAATTTGAAGATGCAATAGATAAAACACTATATAGGGAGATGAAAAAGAATAATTTACAGAGAATTAATTCAGAATACAGAAAGATTTACAGCTTGAGATGTATAATAAAATTGTAAAATTTCATGTTTGTAAAAATCACAAATGATTCATGGTAAAGCTGTATGTTTAAAATGCCATGTTGGCTCTTGACATTCGTAACAATTGACTTTCTGGGAGCTTCTAGATATAATCTTAATTATCTATAATCACCATTCTGTGGCCTTTGAGATAAAAGACAAAAGGCTGGCAAAGGCCTGATTAATCTGTAGCTGCGTTATTATTTTTCTCTATTGACAATGAATGTGAAGCCTACATTTTCTTTCAAACTAACTGTTGATTATTTAGACTCTAAATCAGTCCCTTTCATTCCAGATTTAAACACCTGCTCAAATGGAATTTTCTCCCACAGTAATGTATAAATCATAGACACTTTTGAAACTTATAAAAAGCTCTAGAAAACTCAAAAAAAGTATTATAGTAATCATCCAAGGAACATGGAATTATATATTTAGTGTTTTTTAAGTTGTTGGCCATAAACAATATATGGGATGATCTTAAATTAATCAGCACTTCTGATTAATTGGACCAAGTAATTCCTGTTGATTTCAGCTGGGCATGAATGCTTACAGCAAAAAGACTCAATGAACTTATGAGCTGCAGATTCCATGAACTTATTAAATGCAGACCCACCTGATAAAGAGATGAGAGCTATGATTAAAACAGTGATGATGACCACATTCACTACAGCACATGGAATAGGAACTTGAAGGGATCCTTCATGATATGTTGCAAAGTGAGGACTGGCAGCATTATCTGAAGGAAGAAAGTTGATGGTGAATTTAGGCAGAATATAGAGGTAAGATAGAGACATTTGATATTGTTTTGAGGCATTTATTTATTTATTTGTTTGTTTATTTATTTATTTAATCTACAAATATTTATTGAAGGTTGAATCCGAGCTAGGGCCCCTCTTTGGAACTGGGCCAATCCCCTTATTTTTTAATTTTTATGCCTACAACATCTGGTCTTCCTAGATGATCTCCCATCCAAGTACTAACCAAGACCGACCCTGCTTAGCTTCTGAGATCAGATGGGATCGGGCTTGTTCAGGGTAGCATGGCTGTAGACTACGAGGCATTTAAATTTTAAAAAGTAACTATGTATCTCCCTATATACTTATATAAAATTTATATGTTAATTTCCCCCAAATTTTGAGTTAATTTGGATAGTTTCTTTTTGGCTAGAAATGAAACAATCCAGGCCTAATAATGAGACCATAAAATATCTCCCAAATATATGTACTTAATAGTTATAAACATTCTAAGTGGATCACAATTTTATTGTTTATCACAATAAGAACATTGATTAAATACTTGATTACCCTAGGAGACATATTTAAAAACCCTAAGCACAATACCTGAACTTCTCTGTAGTTACTGTTTAACAGAGATGATGTAAATGGGGATAAATGTGAATAGTGTAATACAAATATTGAATTGGTATATAAATATCTACAACTAGCATGGCTGAAAGAACAAAAACTGGTAGTAATTTTTGGTGAAGTTTGTGCAGATGTGAAGCAATCGAAATTTTCATATTATTGACTGAAGAGTAGAATAAAAAATAATTTAGAGAACTGTTTCTTAAATAGTTAAATATACACCCACCCTGTGATCCAGCAATTCTATTCTTACACATTTTCTCAAAAAAAAAAAATGTCTTCAAAATGCTTTGTACAAGAATGTCCATAGCAGCTTTATTCTTAAGAACCAAATCTTAGAAATAATCCAAATATCCATCAACAGGAAAATGGATACACAAATTATGCTATATCCTACAAGGAAATTCTCAGCAATGAAAAGAGAAAAAAAGAACAACTGATATGTGCAACAAAATGGATGAATCTTAAAAAAAAATGTTGAGTGAAAAATATCTAATTATAGTTATATACTCTGTATTTCAATTTATATCACATTCAAGAATAGTGGAACTAGACTATAGTGACAGAAATCAGAAAGGTGATTGCTTTTATGTGTGTAGGAAAGATAATTTGAGTGGAAAGGAACACGGGAACTTTCTAGGGTGGTGAAAATTTCCAATGCTTATTGGAGTTGTAGTTTACGAAAAAAGCCTAGAAGAATATTTGTTCTAGAATATAAATAAATAATTAAGAAAAAGGAGAAGGAGATTTTATGACTCATAATTTGGATTTGATTTTTGTTAGAATAAACTGTCGGGATTTTTAAACTCATAAGAAATATATAGTTTCCTATTATGTTCTCAAAAACTGAAACTTAAAATTGCCACTTGAGTGATATTAAAATTTACCATAAAAAGCAGTCTCGAAATGCAAAAATATCTTGTTTTTCAGTATGAATGACTTTCATAATTAAAAGTACATATCTTGAAATGCATGTATTTTTTGCCTTAAAACATTTCTCTAAAGTTAAACTGGTCAAAGAGATGTTACTTTCTTTCATAGTAATTTACTATGTCCTGGATGTCAACATCAGCTTTTGCTTTTTCTGGGGATTGTTTTTCTCAGTGTAGATCTGCATTTAGATATTTTAAAAGATGCCTTTACTTCATTCCTATGTAGTTCTATTTCTTTCAGCTCCTCAAAGCAAATCTTCCTTTTTTTCACTGGTATGCAATTATCGCCGGAAACAGCCCTTGGTAGGTAGGGTAGCAAGTTCAGAGCTCTGTCTAGTTTCACTTCTCATAGTGCTGCTTAGACTCAATGCAGCAAGAGCTCTCATTCCCGAGCCCATACTAACTCATTCAAATAGCTCCTGGACTCCAAAGCCTACCTCAGTCTGTTGGCTTATCCAATGGATAAACAGTGGAGATGATTCTCAGACTATACTTTATGTCCATTAATGAGAGCTATTGTTACTCAGTTTGATTTATCACCTAGGTGACGAAACACTCCCCCAATAGTATACTTCCGCTCTGATTATGGGCTTTGTCCATTAATAAAGAAATTGAAATAAATTCATCATTACATACTGAGTCACCTAAGGGTGATGCCTAATGATTATTCATACTAAGGAAGCAGGCACAGGGCTACGTAAACTAAACATTCAACAAAAAATTGGGGTGAACTCAGGAAAAGTTAATAATTTCTGAATTAGAGCCTTCTTTCAACTATTTATTTGTTATGATATCGTTTTTCTTTTTGGCAGCTCAACTGGGCCATAAAATATGGTTACCTGGTTTCCAAAAAATTTGTGCGACTTGCATTTGTTATCCAGACTTGATTTTGTGTTCTTAAGTGACAGATGGGTTTATCGGAGGTAATCAAAGCGTTTTTGACTCAAAGCAGTCTAGTAGACACACACGCAGAAAACAATCCCTTCCTCTTGATTGCTTCAGCTCTGCTGTTCATAACACTTTCCTTTATTACTGGATAACTTTGCTTACAAATAAACTCTGCTTCCTACATGTTAGATTTGGGGATATCTCAATAATTAGAGAGGGACAGGAATAAAAAGTCATGAAAGCCTCACAGAAACAAGTTATAGGAAAACAGTGGGAAAATTCTTGTAGCAAGAAATAGAATAGGTTTAAGGACAGAATAGACAAATAGAAGGGAGGGAAAGGTATATAGCTAAGATGATTCTATTTCAATAAAATACAAAAGAAAAAAAGGAATGTCTGATTCATGTAGAATGTGAAGTCAGTGATTGGAAGGGTCAAAGAGAAAGATGAAATGGAGGAAAAGAGTCCCATAAGGAATACAGAAGCAGATGTCATTTTCAAGAATTCTTTCCTGACATTCTTCTAATAAATTACCACTGGATACTGGACATGTTCAAATGCATATATGGCTCTTCTCTCAAAGACTGGAAACCTTCTTTTCCAGCAACTGAAAGATGCTGTCATAAAAAAAAGATGAAGCACACAGGAAGCACATAAAGATACAAGGTAAGGGCAATCGAGGATGTAATTGTTTATGTGGAAAACAGAATTTTCGTAAAGAGAGGTAATGCTTCCTGGAGTGTGTACAGATGAATATGGAAAAATGATGGAGAGTGCACTGAACTAGTGCACTGAAGTTTCCTAATTAAATCTGAAAAACTAGGATGGTATAAACTGAAACAAATAAACAGATCTTTGAAGATTTTCTGAAATTCACTTTTGTGTTTCCCTCTAGTCGCAGGAATCTTATTTCTCATGTATAAAGAAATATTTACTTCTTCCTATTTTCTCCTTTATCTTGACTGAAATAGAATGTGACCAAGTTCTTCAAAAGATAAAGCCTCATTTTCTTCTCTACGTGCTATTATATATTATCTATATAGATACATAGTTATTGCCAGTACATAAAAATAAGATCTGACTTACTTTGTTGTCCTCTCTCCACGTGCAAGGAGCTGTTCTCTGTTAGGGAACAATCTTCAGAATTCATCTTTATTCTAGTCAAGATTCTCTGGTTAATCTCAAGTTAAGCCAATCTACAGTGAAAGTCTTCGTTGGAGTTCTTACCCAGTCTCTGAATCTCTGAGATAGCTCAACATTTATAGTCAGTTATGCTGTCTCCGCCCCCTTCCTCTTGCCTTTTAGTCGTTCAACTACCCCAGTTCTCTTTAATTTATGCTCCAGTAGCCCAGACAATTCACAATGTGTTGTTGTGGTGAGCTATGGGTTTTCCCTACTGTCTGAAATGTGCTTTCTCACAACTGTAAGTGTAGCATGAAGAGACAAGTGGGATTTTCCCAGAATCTCTGATAACCTTTCTTAAATTTGTAGAAAACAAAAATAACTTAGATGATAGTGTATCTAAGTAAAGAATTAAAAGTTAGGGATTCCTTTCTTTGAGATGGAAATAATTTGGAGAGTAATATATCCATATCCATGGAATTCCATTCATTCATTTTATGTAACTAGTATTTATTGAACATCCACTATGAACCTGACACTGTTTAGGGCTAGAGGATTTATTGTTGAATAAGAATTTTAAGATCACTATCCTTATAGATCTCTCTCCAGTGTGGAAGAGTTTTTTTTAGGAAGCTATAAATTAGCTTTGGGAAGTCTGTCATTTAGTAAGTAGTTGATTTAATGCAGGAAATAGAAACTCTGTGGTTTGGAACTTCCTTTCTATGTTCTAAAATTATTTATCTTGAATTATCTGTTTCATTTATCTCCTGCTAATATTTTGTCAATTTAGACCAATCTTATTTCCACTTAGTAGTATCTTATTCCTTTATTTTTCCCCTATCTGCTAGATTATGTGTGTGTGTATATACACATATATATAATATATATTATACACACACATATAGATATAGATATATACACCTGAGGGTTAAGACATTTGGAATATGATTACTATAAAAATATTGCCATGGTATTCATATTATCCAGATAAGTTATTAAAATTAACACAAAGTGAATGCAGAATATCCATGTATGATGATTTAAGGGGGGGTGGGGATCAAAATACCCCTTGGGTTAAGAATTTTGGTACAAAAAATGTTACATTAATATTATTTCTTTAGTGTTAAAAGACTTTGTTTTTATAATAAAAGCTTTGTGAAAATGTTATGCTTAGGTGGATTGTAACTTATTATCTACTATAAGTTAGTTACCATCACTTTTATTTGTTTACTTAAGACATGAAGAGGTACATGTTGGTCTTAAAGGCTTTCTTTGCTTCCCTTCTATTTTTCAGTCAATTTCCTCGTATGTTTTCTAAATAACAGCTAAAGAGTTTGTTTTATAATTAAGCAACATCATTTTGGTGAGATGTTCAATAGTTCCCCTCTTCCACCTTCAAAAGTTTCTTATCAAACTTTCTATAAATCCAAGGACCTTTTATAGTTGAGAAGAAAGTCCATAATCTGGTCCCTCTCTACCTCTCCTCCCATTTTCCCAATTCGCCATTGCTCTTTTCAACAGTAACCTCTTTGCTGTTCCACAAAAATGTCAAGTATACTTCCACTAGAGGGTCTTTGCCTGTTCTTTAAAAAAGGTTCCTTCCTCCATCTACTTGAACGTCTGGCTCTCCTTTCATTCAATTCACTCACTTGTTCAACTGTCATCTGCACAGAGAGGTCTTCCTTTGCCTTTTACATGTAAATTAAAACCTTACACTCTGTACCTCCATATGCTTTGATCTTTCTCTATCTCACTTGTCAATATCTGATATTATATTATTATTTATCAACTACTTTCCTTACTAAATTGTAAGCTGCTTGAGGGTAAGGAATTTTTCTGTCTCTAATACCTGACATAGTAACTGGAACCTAGTATGTAGTCAGTACCAACTTGTTGAATGAGTGAATAAATAAATAAATATGAATTCATGAAAGAATATATATATAACATAAAAGTTCCAAAATATAGAGTGCTACTCTGGGAGGCTTGCAGGATTGTAGGGTTCAGAAATATATGATTTTAGACTGCCATTGGATAGCAAGTACACACTTGGATACTACTGATGAACGACAAAGAAGTTAACTTTGGTATTTAATAGAATAGCTGATGCTTTTGCTAATTTTTTTGAGTTAAAGCAACTTAGATTTTTTAAGTGATTATCCTCCTAGAGCTAGAAGAGCTGTGGGTTAATGTCCACACTCTTACACTAGTTATACACACCAAGTTGTGAAGAATGCATGAGATAATATCACTGTTATAAATCTGGAACATTATTTGAAGTCTTCTAAGTCTGTGGAGTACAAAGAGAAAATATTCTTACACACACTGATAATCCTTGTCATATGTCTTTTGCACATGCAAAACAGGACTTTTTAATTGCTGATTGGACTGACATAGATCATGGTCCAGTTATACCATTTACTAATGTACATTTTCCTCTCTGGTGATTCCCACATAATTGTGAAAATCTAATTTTCTTTGCTGGACACCAACTAGCTTTGAAGTTTGAATATTTCAGAACAGTTAGGTTAACATAATGAAAATAGTACAGATTTTACAGATGGTTAATCATCTCCCACAATTTTCCCTCTACTACCTATAGGCCAGCTATGTTGACCTTTATTCTATTCTTTAAAAAAGCTAAACTTATTTTTAATATATACAGTGTTTTCTTGCTTTTGTTCTCTATATGCTCAGATGTTTTATAGCTATCTCTTTTTTCTCGTTTATGTTTACCTAACATGTACTTGCTCACCAGACCTTCCCTGACCACTTGTATAAATTACTTCCCATTAGTCAAAATTTATTACCTCACTCTCTTCTTTTAGTTTAGAAAGCATATCATCATTGGAAATCTTGTAGTTCTTTATAATACATATATGTAGTTTTAAAAATCATCATCATCATTATCATCATTATCATTATTATTTATTTATTCCCCTAACAATAAAGTAAGGTCTTTCAGAGCAGGAACATGAATGTCTGATTCAACAACGAATCTCCAGTACTTGTAATAGGGCTTAGAGCACAGGAATTCAACAAATATTTATTGGGTAGATACATGGAAGAATGTATGTGAATATTGACCCAAGCATTTGTTAACTGTTCAGCTTTGGTAAACTTACTTATCACCAGTGAGCTTTGGCTTTATTTGTAAAATGAAAATATTGCTGTCTGACTTATACGTTTTTGTGAAAAAAACTATAAATTAGAAAATTAGTTTTCAATCACAGCGATTGGTGTATATTAGGTATTTAATGATATATAAAGGATAACAGTTTGATTCAGGTCATGGAAAGGGCAAGTTTCTCACTTAATGTAAGGTTCTAAGAGATAAAACTGAGAAGTCACAGCATAATTATTGATATGATGCACCATGGCTCTTGTCTGTCTAGGATACAGACAGAAAGAAAAACTGCAGTCTCCTACAATCGCCTCTAACAGCTTTTATGACACTAAGATATTTGCTTTAGTGCTCGAGCTTTCTTGGTCCTTCATCCCCAATCAGGTGAATAAATATTATCCATATATTTATATATGTTTATATGTGTAAACCTGCATATGTATATGCTATAAATATGTGATGTATAATTTATAAATGTTATATATGACATTGAGCACAGAAAAAATACCAGGAGATCTTACTATAAGAAAATAGATATATTTAAATATTATCATATTAATCAAAATCTGTTACTTTTGTTCTGAAATCATTTTTCTCTATCTGTCTTGATGAGAACTGCCCAAGAATTTTGTGAAACCAGCACTTGTGTAGGTGGGTGTAGGCAGCCACGGCAAACATAAAAACCAGCCAAATTCCCAGGAACATATGTTATCAGTAGATATAAGTATCCATTGGCCCTCATGCTATTCAGGTCCTATAAGAGCCTGAACTTTATTGCAAAATGAATAAGCTGTTCATTAATTCTCTCTTTCTTCCCACAGTCATTTTATTTTAAGTGTAAGAAATACCCCTTAGATTTGAGAAAGCAATGAACTTTAATTCCTGTAAAAGAGTGAACGAGGAATAGAGATTGCCCAACACAGCTCTGATTGAAACCTGTTGTCCTGATGTAATTATTACAAGCATGTCATTTCATTTGCAAAAGTGTCTTCTTACGTACAATAATTTGTATGCTCATATTACTAATCAGTACTTGTTAAATGAAAGGAATCTATCTCTACATGTGAAATGACAGCAAATAGGACAAAGCAAAGAGTGAAGGATCAAGATACAGTGTGGGAGAGATTTGGGGTCAGAGGGTTTTTCAATTGCCCATTATTCACCTAAATATGGAAGCAAACTTCCTGTGTGGTCAGCCCTGATGGATTCAATTCTCTAAAACAAAGAAACACATAAAAGGAACTGAAGAAACAAAATCAGTGCAAATAAACTCTTTTTAATCTCCTTGTAAAACACAAATGTCAATAATGTTTCAACTCCTTCAGAGATAGTTTATGTCTTATTTCATAAATAATAAATCAAAAAATTAAGGGATATCCATAGGGCAGAGATTAACATTAACATGATAGTTCAGTTAAGAAAACTGAGGCTTAGAGAATTTAATGCCTGGACAAAGTTAGAAGAAGCCACTCAGGACACCAGAACAGATCAATGCAGCTCTCCTTCATGTTTGACCTTATATGAAGAATCCGGGGGATGTCCCAGAAAGGAAATGAAGTAATGTGAGCTAGATGCAAAATGATGCAGAGAAGACAGGATATACAGTCCTTTTCAGGCAGCAGCTCAGCAGGATGCTTTCAGTGACACCTGTTCACAGGGACCACAAACTTCCGATCTAAGACAGTTTCCGGAGACAACCTGTTCATTTTTTTTTTCTTGAATTTCCTTTCTCTTTCAATTAGGTTTCTGAATAGCTTTTAATTTTCTTGAGAATCAAAACTTCGATTTATAGTTTTATCTTCTACTAAATTAAGATAAATTGTTAATGCAAAAGTAAAATTAATTTTAAATCACAGATGTGTGTGTGCTTTTAATTGGTTACATTAAGGCCAATCAAGGCAGCCATGAGTAAGTGGGGGAATTTCCAATTTTAAACACTTTCCAACATTCTCTACTCTCTGAATTTATTTTTTTAACTTTCTAATTTTCCACTTTGGTGGAAAA